GGAACTTCTTGACGGGAACACACTTTTTATTAAATCTTTACGTGTCAAAATACAACGTGTAGTCTCCTTTCTTCCGACTTCACACTCCACTACTCTCGTGTAAACTCTAGGCCTCTGGCTACACACGATACCCTTCACTCGTGTAGACCCTACGCCTCTGGCTACACAATACACTCAACTCGTGTAGACCCTATGTCCCTGGCTACACAATACACTCGACTCGTGTAGACCCTACGCCTCTGGCTACACAATACACTCGACTCGTGTAGACCCTATGTCCCTGGCTACACACACTGCATTCGGCTCGTGTAGACCTTATGCCTATGGCTACACACACTACACTCGCCTCTGGGTTACACAGAGTCCCGGTCCCGTTAGGACAGCGGGACTAGGTACCGCAGGGCCCTAGGTCTTCATCCCCGTCTTCATTCTTCGCTGGTTACACACTGCCCTCACGCCTGTGTGCATCCCCTTTTATAGCCCCTGCTCACGAGAGGCGGAGCTGATGCGTACTTCAACGTGAGCATCGCTCCTTAATGAACCAATCACGACGCACTCTCTCTACGATCCGTTTTCCCCAGCGCGTGTTAACACTCCTCCACCAATCACACCGCGCTGCCACCCGATCACTCCCTCTCAGCACGTCACCCGTCCACAGCCAATCAGTACCCCGTAACCCACGACCCCGCGCTGACCCCTGATCCTCCACCGTCAGCGCACTTCACCACCTACACAGCCAATCATTACGCGCTGGCATACGATCTCTAATCCCAGCGCGTATCACCTCTACATCACCCCCTCCCACATAGCTTGCAGCCGGCCCGGCTGTTAACCAACAACACAACCTAACGTCAATGCAGTAACAAAGAAACTCCACCTCTCAGTGTGCCCCGTAACGCAACAACAACAACACAACACAACACTTAAATATGAAGCAATATACAGCCCGACGAACAACACAATAAAAGCGAACACCGGAAACCGAACGCGCCAAGTGTCTCTGTGACTAAACGCAGTGCCGAGGCGCTCCGGCTGCCTCGACTCCTCACGTGGCAGGTCACACAAAGTAGCGCGACCTAGCGCGAGTCCGTCTGGCCGGTCCGTCGTATGGGACGGGACGTTGGCGACCGTCCGGTGGCTCCGGCCGCTCAAGATCCGGCCGCCGGTGGTCGGCAGCTGTCAGTTCCGAGACACCGGGGTTTGCAGGGACGACTTGGGGCCTTGGTCGTCGTCCAGCCGAGGTCCCATGGCGCGCTGACGTGGGGCGCGGCAACCAGAGGCCACGTGGCCCCGGAGGCCGCAGTTATAGCAGGTGATGACAGTCGTCGGAGATCTCGGTTGCTCCAGCTTGCGGGCCGCTCGCAGAGGCGAACGACCCCCCGATCTCCAGTCCCCCGGTCGTCCCGCGATGAACGCCTCCTCTCGTGGGCTGACGACTTGGGGCACGGTGACAACTGGGCCCGGAGTTGAGGCCACGGCAGCGTTGCAGACGACTCCCTGTTTACGTTGAAGGACCTCGTGCGCTTGTATGCTTGTGGCGACCCGTAAGGATGAAATATCGGTCTCATCGGCCGTGTTGATGGGGACCCCCAGGTCCTGCGCCAACTTGAGCAGCTGCTCCAAAACCATGGCATCTTGGCCCTCCTCGTCCATACGAGGGAACGCGGCGTCGGCGAGAGCAAGCAACGCCGTGCGGTAGGCGAGCACGGTCTCCGTGTCCGCCTTCCGTCTTGCATAAAAATGATGGCGGCACGCGGAGGGAGGACCATAGACCTTGGCCATGAGAGCCAGCGCATCTTTGAGCGTGGAGCGGTCCGACCTGCGTGCGGACGTGAAGGCCGCGAGCGCGTTGTCATCCAGCATGGCAGGCAGTGCCCGCAGTGCCGTAGCGTCGGACCAGGCGGACATCTCCTGATGCGCCAAAAATCTGCGCTGAAATTGGCTCCAATCCCCGCCTTCCGCCTTGAAGGCTGACAACGTGGGAAGGCGCTGCTGAAAAATGAAGTCGTCCTCCTCCTCGTGCTTCCTCTCTGCCGCCCCGCCGGTGTGTAAGATGGCGGCCCCATCGGCGGGTGTGTGATGGCGGTCCGCCGCGCGCGTTGGTGACGTCAGCGGGCGCGCATGGAGAACCGCTGCCACGTGGTGATGGCCGTTCCCGCCAAAAGTCGGTGCAGATGAAATGGCGGCCATCGCCAAATCGTTTTGGCGGGAATCTGCAGGGCGACCCTGCAGAACGTCGGCCGCCGTTCCCGCTCCTCCCGACGAGCTGATCTCCGCCAAGATGGACGTGGCGGCGAGCAGCAGCTCCGCCAGACGGGAGTGCGCTTCGCGAAGCACGGCGTCAGTCCCCCGTGGCTCGTCCGGCGCCGTCGGCGGATCCTGCCCCGTGGGCAACTTCTCTTCCTCACCCCCCGATGCCAGTTGACCCGCGTCGTCGAGGTTGTCCCCGTGGTCAATCCCGTGGGTCCGACGGTTCCTCCTTGTATCCATGCTTGGAAGACCGTTTCACTTCTGACGCCAGTTGAAGTATGGGAATTGACGGCAGGAACTTCTTGACGGGAACACACTTTTTATTAAATCTTTACGTGTCAAAATACAACGTGTAGTCTCCTTTCTTCCGACTTCACACTCCACTACTCTCGTGTAAACTCTAGGCCTCTGGCTACACACGATACCCTTCACTCGTGTAGACCCTACGCCTCTGGCTACACAATACACTCGACTCGTGTAGACCCTATGTCCCTGGCTACACAATACACTCGACTCGTGTAGACCCTACGCCTCTGGCTACACAATACACTCGACTCGTGTAGACCCTATGTCCCTGGCTACACACACTGCATTCGGCTCGTGTAGACCTTATGCCTATGGCTACACACACTACACTCGCCTCTGGGTTACACAGAGTCCCGGTCCCGTTAGGACAGCGGGACTAGGTACCGCAGGGCCCTAGGTCTTCATCCCCGTCTTCATTCTTCGCTGGTTACACACTGCCCTCACGCCTGTGTGCATCCCCTTTTATAGCCCCTGCTCACGAGAGGCGGAGCTGATGCGTACTTCAACGTGAGCATCGCTCCTTAATGAACCAATCACGACGCACTCTCTCTACGATCCGTTTTCCCCAGCGCGTGTTAACACTCCTCCACCAATCACACCGCGCTGCCACCCGATCACTCCCTCTCAGCACGTCACCCGTCCACAGCCAATCAGTACCCCGTAACCCACGACCCCGCGCTGACCCCTGATCCTCCACCGTCAGCGCACGTCACCACCTACACAGCCAATCATTACGCGCTGGCATACGATCTCTAATCCCAGCGCGTATCACCTCTACACCTGCTATGATTACAGCAGTGCATACTGCTGTGTTGGTACCTGCTATGATTACAGCAGTGCATACTGCTGTGGTGGTATCTGCTATGATGAGAGGAGTACATATTGTGGTGGTGGTACCTGGTATGATAACAGCAGTGCATATTGACTGTACTCATCATTCACCCTCACCATTCACCACTCACAACTCACCCTTACCACTCATCCTCACCACTCACCACTCCCACTCACTATTCACCATTCACCCTCACAACTCACCACTCACCAACCTCCCTCACCAATCACACCCTCACCAATTACCACTCACCCTCACTGCTCACTCTCACCGCTCACCACTCACCCTCACCACTCAACCTCACCCTCACCCCTCACTAATCACCACTCACAACCGCCACTCACCCTCCCCACTCACCCTCACTACTCACCAATCACCACTCACCCTCACCACTTGCCACTCACCCTCACCACTCACCACTCATCCTCACCATTCACCCTCACCACTCTCCCTCACCACTCACCAGTCATGCTCACCACTCACCATCACTACTCACCACTCACCCTCAACACTCACCCTCACCGCTCACCACTCACCCTCACTACTCACCCTCACCACTCATCCTCACCAATCACACCCTCACCAATTACCACTCACCCTCACTGCTCACCCTCACCCTCACTACTCACCCTCACCACTCATCCTCACCAATCACACCCTCACCAATCACCACTCACCCTCACCACTTGCCACTCACCCTCACCACTCACCACTCACCCTCACCATTCACCCTCACCACTCTCCCTCACCCTTACCACTCATCCTCACCAATCACACCCTCACCAATCACCACTCACCCTCACCACTCTCCCTCACCACTCACCAGTCATGCTCACCACTCACCATCACTACTCACCACTCACCCTCAACACTCACCCTCACCGCTCACCACTCACCCTCACCACTCACCCTGACCACTCACCACTCATCCTCACCAATCACACCCTCACCAATCACCACTCACCCTCACTGCTCACCCTCACTGCTCACCCTCACCACTCACCCTCACAACAACCACTCACCCTCACTACCAAAAACTACACATGTGTTAGTCCCTGGGTAGTGTTATTTTCTATACGCTGACATCTCAAAAGTTACAAATTGGAGAAAATTCCCCTCAAACTTAGTTTTTGAGATACAGACAGTGACCAAAATTTTAATCGTAAAAATATATATATTTTTTTACCAAAAACTACACATGTGTTAGTCTCTGGGTAGTAAGTGTTATTTTCTTACGCTGACATCTCAAAAGTTACAAATGGGATAAAATTCCCCTCAAACTTAATTTTTTTTGACACGGACAGTGATATTTACAAATGGACCTATTTTGCTAGGAGAAAACGTGTGCATTTGTGTAATTCTTTCGTTTATATAAAGTTCTGGTCACAAAAGCAACATGTATGGGGAATAATAGTCATCTTATATACTTAGGAGGCTTAAGCAATATAAAAATAACACTTTTTACCCAGGGAAAAATCGTGGTGCATAGTGTATATTTACTATCATCAAACATAACTTAATCCCTAACATCTTTTAATATATAAGAGTGATACAAAATAGTAAACATAAATATTTAAATGTTTTAACTGAGCTGTGAAGTTGCGTGACTAACCTCGTAGCTTTTCGACGGGAATAAGAATCTCCGCGATTGTTTGAAGATATCGGGGAGGGTGGGGGGAAGGTAAACACGCCCACTCGTGACATCCCCCCCCCCACCGAACACGGAGCAACGCCGCGAGTGTGTGCGAGTCTGAGCGTGTGAGTCTGTCTGAGTGTGTGCGAGTCTGAAAGTGTGAGAGCGAGTGTATGTGTGAGTCTGAGTGTTAGAGTGAGTCTGTGTGTGTGAGTCTGAGTGTGAGAGTGAGTTTGTGTGTGAGTGTGAGTGTATGTGTGTGTGTGAGAGTGAGTGTATGTGTGTGAGTCTGAGAGTGTGAGAGTGGAGTGTATGTACAATAATACTGTCTAATCGCTATAATTTTATTATCTACCGACCCTATAATAGTAATTGCACACATTGGGGTGGAAGGGGAGTGAAGAGGACGTGAAACTTTGATGAATTTACCTCAGAGTCGCGTGTTAATGCGTGCGCATATTTGTAACGGGAATTAAAAATGGCGTCCACCCCGCAGCGAAGTTGTTGCTACCCGTTGCCAGGGGCAACCGCCGTGGTCCGCGCCGGCCGGCAATATTAAATAAATAAATAACTAAATAAAGAGCAATCGCACTAAATCGATAATCGGTCCGATTTAAAGTTTAGAGACGAAAAATCGGAAATGCCTAAGTTTACCGCGGGCCGGGGGCGTGCCCACCTGCAAAATGTAATCTCGGCGAACCCCACGGTCCGAGAGCTAAATCCCCCGGAAGGGAGCGTACGCAGACGGACAAACAGACAGACAGACAGATAGACAGACAGAGAGACAAAAAATGAATTATATAGGTTAGATGAAGGAGCATTTTGATTCTCCATGGGAAAATGGAGAAACATAAATTAATAAAAAATTTGAATTATTGTTAATAAACATTTTGATTCTAATGATTCGACCAGGACTTTTCATTCTGTGGAATGAATATGTGATTGTAATAATTGTACTCTCCATTCTGCTTCTGTCTACTACAAAATTTCAACTATTTTTTATAGTTATAATTACCTAAAAAAATGTATGATCATAAGAAAATTTCAATATAATATTCTGAACATCTGCAGTTTTATTTAGGCGTTGAATATTTGTAAGTTAATTTTATGCTAAGTTTCAGCTTTCTAATGCCTCCTTTTAAATGTTTCTCCTATAAGTGCAGCGCCACGTAAAATACGCACTACAATGACAATAGTTTAAAGTGATTTGAAGCATGTTTTAGTTTCAAAATGTAAATATGGTTGGGGAGGGGCAGAGCCTAGTGACGTCATATTTGAGGGGGGTCTGACTTTCTGTGACGCCGTGTGACGAGGGGGGGGGGGGGGCAAAAATCGCCCAAAATCGCGTGACGTCATTTATGGACGGCCCTATTCACAGATGTCTAGTTGGGGGTTGCTCAAAAAGTTACAACAATACAAAAACACGATAGGAGTGCAGAGTACAGGAAAGGTAAGCAAATCACTTCAAAAATATATACAAATGAAACTCAACTAGGTTCATCCTACCAGGTAAAGCCCACAGAGCTATTAGCTTTTTTTCAGAAGCCAGATGGCCACAAATGGTAGAGGGTACGTCGGGATAAGAGGGGATGTCGGCAGGAGGAGTAGATGAGAGAGAGCAGCTGATGATGAGGAGAGAGCAGTGCATGAGGAGGATGAGAGAGAGTTGCGTGTGAAGGAGGGATTGGAGGACTGGAACGCTTTGCCTGTCTCCGGGTGTTGGTGCGGAGTGTTCGCTCCCAAGAGAAAAGCAACCTCTGTCTGCCTCCTGTGTCTCTGTTGTGTCCACGTGTCTCCCTCACGGTCTGTATCAATGTCCCTCTGAAAGCAACGAGCGATCTGACGAAGGCCTCGGCCACAACACAGGCGGCGTGTGCCGTGTCCAGGGCCGTCGTCTCCCTCGCCCGCTGCACACGTGTCACAGCCGTCTTTGTCTCTCTCCCCAGTGCCGTCTCACTCAGCTCGGAGATGTTCTCTGAAACAAGTATAACCAGTAAAAACAAAGTTTTTCACTATAAATCCTTTATATGCGTGGCGGCTAGAGTCCTCTCGTCCTCTGGCTTGAGATGGCTGCCACGTATGGGTCAGATGATTGCATGCCACCATTAAGCAATTGGTGATTAAATATAATATTTTTGTCCTAAAAAGTGTAAAATTTTGGAAAAAAATGTTCACGAACATTAATTGTCACGCCCAACGAGTCTGTGTGTAAAATGTCAGCTCGATTGGATCACGGGAAGTGGGTTAAAAAACGACCGCAAGATTTACACGGTCGTAAGCAAGCAAGCGCACTTAATATGAAGGATTTAAAAAGTGGCGTTTTTTCTTAACTTTAACAACCCAGGACAGCGATTGCTCAGCCAGAAACCATCTTCTCGGTTGAAATTGTTTCTGTGTTTGTATATGTAGATAGCCTCATGAAAGAATATCTTCTGGCTTAGCAATCATTGGATGTGATTAACCATTTCGGGTCTTAATTGTGTTCACGCTTACGGTGACTTTCAGACCGCATTCCATTCTCCTTCTCTCCCCCCTCCTCCGTTCCGAGCAAAGATGGACTCGTCCGTCTGAACGACCGCTAGTTGCTGTCCGTGGTGCTGACGTTAAGAAAAAAACGCCACTTTTTCAAATTTTCTTGCTGTGGTTTTCACACCTGACGATGATTGCCTGTGTTGCAATCGAAACGTCGTGAGAATTGTATAGTTTTATTTTTATTATTTTATTATTTCCTTTCTACGTGACTTTACCGAAAGAGCCAAGAATATGAATCCCTGCAGTCAGGAAAGCTTTAAATCGAAATTTAATTGCATCATTACTATAAATTCCCTAACATCAGAATCAGAATCTTTATTTAGGCTGGAGGGATCCGATGAGCTATAAAGCTCTTCTTTACAGATGTCCAGTTCGGGCTGGTTACATGTAATTGCGGTATTGCTATCAATATCTGCAGGAATCCGCGAAACTTCGGCGAGGATTTGGGCAGTCCTCGATTTACGAAGGGAATCTGTTCTAACAACATACAAAGAGAAAAACAAAGATCCCCGTGTAGCCTTGGTAGACTGTCGGGGCAAGTGCTGTTAGTGAGCACCTATGAAGGCCGGCACGGCACACGAGGGGGTGGGTGGCTAGTACCATGCCCGGCCACCTTTGTCTCCCCAGTAGCGATGTTTACACACCACACCAGGTACTCATTTCAGGCTGAGTCGACCTAGGGGAGGCCCAGGACGCATTCAGATAATCCTCACTGGTGTTGGCCGTGAGCGAGAATCAAACTCGGGTCGCCGGGTTCGTAGTGCAGCGCGCTAACGTCTTCATTACAACAAAGCGCTCACGACTACACTATTGCTCCCGACCCAACTTTCACGTACACACAAAAAAAGATAAAGATCCCCCTATAGCCTTAACAGACTGGTGGGGCAAGTGCTGTTAGCGAGCAGCACATCTGAAGGACCGAATGGCACACGAGGTGGGTGGCCAGCACCACGCCCGGCCACCTTTTTCTCCACAGTGGCGTTGTTTACACATCGCACCAGGTAGGCATTTCAGACTAAGTAGACCTAGGTGCTCGGGGATAATCGTCACAGCTGTTAAGGCACATTCACATGCACACAGACTAAGATCCCTCACATAGCTTTAACAGACTGTTGGGGCGAGTGCAGTTAGCGAGCAACTATGAAGGCCGACACGGCACACAAGAGGGTGGGTGGCCAGCACTACAGCGGACCGCCTTTGTCTCCCAAATGGCGATGTTTACTGGTACTCATTTAGGCCGAGTCTTAAGTGCAGGTGTTCCTAAGGCGGGTGCTCATACGTCGGGTGTTCGTAAGTCGAGGGCTTCCTGTAATTTTCATTTTACGGTCCAGCTGATTTTAACCAGAAACCGATAACCTATGGTATTGGTAACGACCTATAACAACTGCAGATAGACTCTAAACTAGCTTAAAGAAAAATCTGTGGTTCATGTGGTGGATGGAGCTGAACAGGGCCAACTGTTGGAGGGGCGAGGCCAAGGCAAGGAGTGAGGCCAGCCTCTGGAGAGGAAAAAAGGGAGACATGTGTGAGTTATGGCACAGATTATGAATCGGCTTACATAAGCCGGTGTGTTCACAGCATTAATTTGAGTAGTTCTCAAAGTATAGAGTCGGAAGATAACTTATTTTGACCGTATTAATCCAGCTGGCTATGGTATTAAATGTGAACTTTGTACGACGTATGAATTTTATCTCAGATTTTTTAAAATATATAATCCAGTGCGTGACACAGGTCGGGTGTTTGATGGCAATCTGAAACACCCACCAGAATCACCCATGGGGGTCTTTGGAATTGCACATTGCCTATGTTATGACTCTTGACCTCGATAAAAAAAACAAGTCACGTGCTGCAGTGCAATGACAACTTAAAAGTACTTATTTTTTAATACGCGACATCTGGTCAATTGCTCTTCTTCATAGCACGTAAAGCCAACACGTGCGTCAACAACATTGCCGGAGCAGCCCCTGCTGGACTAAACGCGCTATTGTGCCACGGAGACAATACGCATTAGACGGCCAAAAGCGAGTGGTGTCAAGTATGATCGTGATTATTATGAGGCTTTTCGATTTAAAACTTTCGTGACTGCAGGGATTCATCTTCTTGGTTCTTTCGGTAAAGTCACGTAGAATGGAAATAATAAAATAATGAAAGTAAAACATAATAAAATAATTCTCACGACGTTGCGGCCACAACGCAAGCAGCCGTCCTCAGGTGAAGAACAGGTCTGTCGGGAAGACAGCGTCTGAATGAAACACCCCAGGCTTGGAGCGTATATTTAAGCTGGGTTGGAGGGGGAAGAGCGCCTTGACAAAATAATTTGCATATCAAGAGGAATTTAGCATATTTATGGGAAATGCAAATATGGGATTAGTACTACTTGTGAAATGCGTAGGAGGTGGGCGGGGGATTTCAAAGTCATATTATGCCCGTGCATTATGCAGGATTAGCAGCATCAAAAGGAGGGGATAGGGGTAGCATTAATAAAGGGAAGGAATGTTAATAGTATGTAGATACAGTAACTAGACAACCACGTAAAAAACTAAAGTATAAACTACATAGTATCATCAGTATACTAAATATACTCTCCAATAAGCTGAGCTACTAACAGTAAGTAATACATTACAATTCTACGTCGCAAAAAATATAATATGCTTCCAGCTAAACTTTTTTCCCTTACATCACAAGGGTCTACCCCGTACTATAAGCTGCCATAGACAAAACCCAACATTAAATTATATACTGTATTACTATACACCACCCTATAACCTTCGACTATACATTGTAATATTTCACTATGTATTATTCTACCCACCCTACTGTAAATCACACTGTTGTATATTCACTATA